TTGGAACGATTTAATCTTGAATACATACACTACACGAGTTGCAGTGTAGTGTAGTCTAGTGTAATGTAAATTACTAGAATAATTTAATGTTGAATACGTACACTACACGAGTTGCAGTGTAGTGTAGTGTAGTGTAATGTAAATTATTGGAATAATTTAATGTTGAATGCGTACACTACACGGGTTGCAGTGTAGTGTAGTGTAATGTAAATTTTTGTAATAATTTAATGGTGTATCTATGGCTGAGAGATGGTGCTCGGATCCAAATGCCGCACGCCCGTCTTCATAGTATCCACAATTCGCAGAAAGCGACTCGGGTCACCTAATATATTTGGCACCACCAGAAAAAATAGATAAAACAATTGATATATTTAGTAATTGGGGTACGATCCAAAAGTCCTTCCAACGAGAAACTGGTGTTGCAATTAATCGCTAAGGGAATCGGAAACCACTAAGCCAATCCACAGATAGGACAGCCACAGAAAGCCTATAGGCGACGCAATAACATACCTGAAATGTGCATCAGAATTATAACAAACGAGTCCTTTTCTGGCGCTGGGACCACATCTACCTTGAACTCCATGGGAATATCAAACCCCTTACTGTCCTCGCCCTCGCACGAGCACTGGCATGTGATAGTGCACCGGTTCGCCAGTCCACTGATCTGATGCTTTATATGCTCTCGGTCTAATATATCCACCAGGCCTTGGAACAGCTTGTCACGCGGTACATCGTCGGAGACTATGCGCACGTTCTTCTCGCCGAAAAGTTCCTGGAACCATAACACTTTAGGGCTTTCTCGGCCCGATCCCATTTGGCGGGACAGCTCCTCGTTAGACCCATCGACTGTGACGAAGCAAAGGCATGTCAGAACAGGATGGATGATATGATACCATGACTACCAAATACCAAATAAGGACCTCGAAGGACTCATCCGATGGGAGTGGGCAGCAATTGGACAATAGAACAGAACCAAGTGAACCAGCACACTCCATCACCAACTGTAACCAACTCATTCCCACTGCTACTCTAACGTACGGATAGCCGTAGACCGAGCCTCTACAGCTATTGAGCATGTCTCATGCGCACGTATACTATACTTACTGGATCTGTTGAGCATGTCTCATACCCGCGTATTCTATACTTACTGGTTGCCAGCGGAATCGGTGCTTTCTTCGAAGGGCACCTGAGAGATTTTCGGTTCTGTTCCACAGTCTCTGAATTCAGCGTCAGCCTGGGCTTGCTGGCCACGGGTTTATCAGCGGTCCTGTTTGGAACGCTGGAGCTGTCCTTAACCGGTTTGTCCGGGACTTTTATACTCGGGCTTTCGAGTACAGCATTCCCAGTACCACTGCTACGACCGGTGGTGCTGGCAGTGTTCGTGTGTGTGCGGTTGTGGTTGTCGAGTACATCAGACCCATTCCGTACCGTACCATGCACACCCGTATGATTCAGCCCCGCCAAATCCTCGTGGATAATGGACTGCGCTGAGATAGTGGCGAACCTCGATACACCTGCACTCGGCAAGGAGGTACCTGTGCTGATAGGTACGACTGTGCACTCGGGTGACGTGCCCAGGGCCGCGTCCACAGACATGTACCGATGCCGAGACACACTCTCGGTCAAGTACTGGGACTGGCTCTGTGTGAGCGAGAGATTGCTGTCTGTGCGTTTACGGATATTCTCGTGTGCGGTGGGGTCCAGCAATTCATTTATTGACCCATTTGTGGAGGCGCGCCGGTTGGCCACAAACGGGTCGGTTGTACCTGAGCCGTGTAATTGACCCTGAAAGGATAAGGCCAGAAACTCGCTCTCATCGTCACTCACGTCGAAGTCAATGTCCTGCACAGCCGGGCGCAGGAACTTGCGTTCTAATAATAGATAATACACCATCTTCTCAATGTTACTCTCGGTCTGTGATAGTTTCTCTCGGAGTGTGTGTTCGTCGTTAAAGCAACCCAAGTTCATTAGGGTGGTTAGTACATCTGGATCCAGCGCCTGATCCATGGGTACAGCCGGGAACTGAAGGAGAAGAAAGGCACGGTAGTCAGATATACGTATGAGCAGCTTCATGGGATGAACTGGACGGGTACATTTAACCATACACACACACATA